ATATCTTGCTAGTTTATTCAATAGTGAGATCGGTCATCTGACGCGCTGGAATGTACCTTTAGACATTACAAAGAAAAAAGATATTTTAGATCATACATATAATATCATCATTCAATTTTTGTTGGTAAGATTTGTTATTATGTATCTATTTATCATATAATTTGGTAAAATGAATGTGATGTTATCTATTTTCATTGGTTTACATATGCAGAATAAATTTGAGGTGGACCTTTATGTTAAACATCACTATGATTATATCAAGTACGAGATCGGGACCTGCTACAACGATTATCGACATCGCTTACATAGGTACTATCGTGATTTAAAAGATGCAGAAACGGCTCGACAACGACCCTATGGACAAATTACACCAGAAGTTTGGAATATGCTATGTGATAGATAGGAAACTAGTGAATGGAAGATAACTAATAACTGAAGTTGATTACTAATAATTAGAAATAGTGATATATATATATGTATGTATTCTTGTTGTAGGCAAAGTCAGCGAGAAACAAAGTTAGTTGGAGTAAATTACCCTTTAATCATCGCGCTGGCCCGAAATCATTTTTATCCCATCATGAAAACAAGGTACAAAGTTGTTGTTTCTGGTAGTATAATATATGCTTTGATTGTTATTATTATCAACTAACTTATTGCAATAGAAAAAGGATGATGGGACGTATTTGAGCCCTTTCGAGTTGTTCTTCGCAACACACTGCCATCCGACGAAAGGTTGGACCGATGAAGCCGCTCATCTTGCACATGTAAGTATTCATTTTAATAACATAAATTTAATGGTAATATTTAGTCAAAATTATAACTTAATATATTTATTGTGGTAGGAAAAAATGGTGGAGTTGGTGGAAAAAGCGAAGGAAGAAGATAAAGAATTAAGTGAGCAAGATGCGATGGAAACTGTGCTTGGAAAGTGATCATCGTACACGAAAGGGATGGGGTACGGTCCAAAGCCACCAAGTCAAAAACAAAGCAGGAGGATACTCACAAGAATATGTTCATGCTTTGGAGGCTAGACTAGCAAAAAATGAAGAGTTATTGCAAACTCAACGCCACGAAACCCAGAGGTTGTTTGAAATGCAACGTCAAGAATATGAAAGAAGTTTTGACAGTATGGAAGAACTTTTTCGAAGATTTACTAACGGAGGAGGAAGTTCATCATTGAACAAGGTAAAAAAAATTGTAATTTATGTATGTTTAGGTTTATGTATTTGGTGAAGTTTTAGATTTTGAGTATGATATTATTTTGATATTGTTCTTGGATCTTGATACTTTGATGTTGATGTGTTGATTGTGGGTGCTTTCGCTTGAACTATTGTTGGGAGCTTGAAATTTTGATGTTGTAGTTTGA